ACGCAAGGGATTACAGAGAGTGGGAGCAAGAGTAAAGATGCGTGATAGAGGAAAGGTTGAAGAGAAGGACGGGAAATTATATCGATTGACACTGCATTTGAATAATTGAAGATTTTAGCTATCAGGGAAGCAAGTAAGAGGAAGGGAGTTCCACACACGGGAAGTGCAAGAATGAGATATTGAAGCAGAAGGGTCGGCTATATTTAACTGTTTCGACAGTGAAAGGGTGGGACTGAGATGACAGCCTAGTAGCTCGCTTAAATTCATGTAGTTTGTTGAACTAGTGAAAGTAGCTCGTCGGAGCACTTACCGTGAAAGTATTTGTAGAAAAGACAGAGGGAAGCGACAGCACGTCTGTGAGAAAGCGACTCTACACTAGATGCCAGATCAGGACGTATCACATCGCATCACCAGACCATATATCACAGCAATATTCCATGCATGATTTGAAGGATGAACTCAAACAAGAAAAACTTTCTGGCACGACACAGAGAACCAACTTTACTTGCAGTGGATGAAGTTATTGAGTTTATGTATTTGTTCCACCTCATATCAGCGGACAGTGTGAGACCAAACAGGCGTAACGAGGCGCTCTCGTAGAGTTGGGAATCAGCCATCCTGATGGGAGGCAGGGAGGGGTCTCTCTGGTAGGTAAAGAAGAGCAGTTTCGTTTTGGAGGCATTAAAGTTTACAAGCCATTTTCTATCCCAGTCAACCACAGATTGGAGGTTCTTTTCGAGATCGGCGGCCATGTTAGTTTTATCAACGATACCAGATTTAGTATTGAGGTAGGAGTAAATAGTAGTGTCGTCTGCGTAGATGTCTACTTGGGAACTGATGATTTCGGGAAAGTCGTTAATGAAGATCAGGAAGAGTGTAGGGCCCAAGATAGAGCTTTGGGGAACGCCGACGTTCGTGATAAAGGAGCTGGAGGAGAACACGTTTAGAACGACGTTCATTCACGGTTTGACAGGAATGGTTGATTAAGTCAAATAATCGTCCTGTAATGCTGTATCCATGAAGCTTACGAAAAAGACCGGCATGCTAAACCCTATCAAACGGTTTATAGATACCTAAAGCCACGGCTCGAGCTTCTCCGTTATTGTGATGTTCTTGGTATGCTAATTTTCCCTCTGAGGACACATGGCACAGTGGATAAAAGCGTTGGTTAGATCCAGTGACAGACCCAAAGAAGGTGAGTTCAATACCTGGTTAAGGCAGTGGAGAACTTTCAGAGGGAAAATTAGCAGGAGATAACTGATAACTGACATCCATCAAACATGGCACGTGGAAATAGAACAGTCTACCCCAGTGATCGAAATAAAGGATTCAGTTCGAAATTCCAACCACCTGAAGAAGGCCGGAGCGTACAACGACCGAAACGTTGTGACAAAGATGAGGACAATAGTCCGACTAATGTAAATACTGTCGATATATATATATATATATATATATATATATATATATATATATATAATAAAACTTCTCTCTGTTACACCCCTCTCTAGAGCTTTCATACATCTCACTTTCAAACTTGTTTCCCACTCCCGCACATACACTCTCAATAAAAAATTTTTTTTATGCCCGGAATTATATTTTCCGATTTCTTTTTGAATTTTTATGTCTGATGAATTGGATTATGATTACGATTCCAATGTAATAAATTATAACCATGGAATATTAGTGTTTGAGCCTTTTATATTCTGTTCTTACATTGAGTTCTACCTGGATTCTATCCTCTTGGGAATTTTATATTTTATATATATATTTATATATATATTTATATATATATGTATATTGACCACCAATATTATCAATATATATATATATATATATATATATATATATATATATATATATATATATATATGTTATGTTGACGAGAAATTGACGAACCGCTGTTTTCGAATTCTTTATCCTTGGTTGGCAACCAGTCTAGTTCTGAAGAGGACTCTTTGAAGACATCGAAAAAAATGTGTGTGGGTAGTCTGGGGGTTCATTTCTAAGAACTGAATTGTTTGCTTCCTGTACGTGATTAATGACAGAGCATCCAGGCACATACAATGAAACGGTCTTGGTGAAATAATGCATTTTCTTTTATAATGAAGGTCGTTTTTACTTTTTCTATTAGACCGAAGTCCTTCGAATTAATCTCCTTACCGACTCATCAAATAATTTAGTTCTGGCTACATCTTAGAGGAGAGATTCCTTTTGTGGTGGGAAAATCACTTCCATTTTGTCATCGACGATTTCTTTTAGCGCCTTTGACCCAGCGCCATTTGCAATCCTACTAAAAGAAAAACTCAAAGACCGACCATAAAATCTAATAAAAACTGACATCACAAACAACAAACATTACAGAAGAAATACTCCGAATGAAGCTTAGTGCTAAGAATTAAAAAAAAAGACACTTAATGATGAGAAAGAAACAGGTTTTCTTAATTCCGGGTTTCTTTGTCTCGGCCGGACGGTTCATTCAATCATTTTCCATCGTGAAAAGGAATAAACGTTTTTCGAATGAACACTTCTTATCAGCAGTCGTGTCAAAGTAAAGCTTTGGTTTCGTAACACACCAAATCAGCGTTTATAATTTAATGGCAGGACCGGAAATCGAGAATTATTGAAACGTTAATATTTCAGGCATCACACGTCAAAAGGCCGAGGTCGAATCGATCATTCTTTTGTAAACAGACAATGTAAAAAAAAAAAAAAAAACGAAAAAAAAAAACCCCAAAAACAAAACAAATGATCACAGATTTATCTAAACGACCCATTCTGGTAAAAGAAAAAAATTAGTTGAAACATTTGCTTGTATTTAAGAAAATAAATTTCCACAAAATCTTATCACTGACATTTTTACGTTTATACAACGCATTTAGACTAGCATTTTCATCTTTTACTTCGGTTAATCAGTGGTATTTCTGATTTTGTTTAAAACATTGAGATAAATTATAAATCCTGCGTATTATTAGCACCAATATTCGTATCCTTCGGGTTTTTCATTGTGATGTTTTGAACGATTCGTTTTTATTTAAGCATATCATTTAAACTATCGGTGTGATTTTACAGATTCAAATGATTAAAACTCTACACGTAGGCATATAAGTAAGACTGTTGGTCCGAATAACTCCTGCAATAATTCTTTCAGTTTGTCAGAGAACAAAGCAAGTTAAAGAACACGCGAAAAGTGATAAAACAGCAAGGATAAAGGTACCTTGCCAGTTTGCTTGGTCGGCACAACAGTAACAAATCTGTATTTGATGTTTGCAAACAGGTGATCAATGATTAAAAAGTTAATTCAGTTCAAAGAATGGTGAGGCATCCTGTTGAGCATCTCGACCAAAGATCAGACAACTCTTGAATAACTCTTGAATACCAATGCAATTCTATTTATTTGGGTCGCTTCGAATGAATGCTTTGGGTTAATGGTAGCTATTTATTCTTTCTTTCTTTCTTTCTTTCTTTCTGTTGTAACAGAGTTATGAAGAACAACAGTAGAAAACAGGAATTGGTTTAACAACAAGTTTATTAGCTTTTGGTACAGAGAAACATCATGGAGAATAGAAATTAGGGAAAAGAATGTTTAGACGTGAATGACTGTTTTCAGCAAAAGCTACTGTTGCTACTGCTCCTTCTGTTGAGGTAGGAATATTTTTATGTCTTTCGTCCGAGTCCAAATTTTCTTCTATCACAACACATTCCTTGTTTGTTTGTTTCTTTCTTTTTCCGCTTTTTTGCTTTACATGCCCTTTTCTTTCTTTCTTCTTCGTTATATGCAATTTTTCTTTTCCTCTTTGTCTTGTTTTCTTTCCTTCATTCCTCTTTTTGTCTATCCTTTGTGTTTCATGTTCTTTCTTTCTCCCTTTTTTACTTCTTTGCTTTATAGTGATTTTCTAAGCACAGCTTAGATGTGGCCCAAGGCCGAAATTAGGGAGGGGGGCACCCAGTGAGAATCGAACTCACTACTCAGTCGTAATTGTTCTAGCGAGACAAGCTTGCTAACCATTACACCACCACGAGGTGCCCAAAGAGATTTTCCAAGCGTAGCTTAGATTTGGCACAAGGCCGAAAGTACGGGGCATCCAGTGAGGATCGAACTCACTTTTCAGTAGTAACTGATCTAGCAAGACAAGCTTGCTAACCATTACACCACGCCGAGGTGGCCAAATATTGATTTTCTAAGCGTAGCTTAGATGCGGCACAAGGCGGAAAGTAGAGGGCACCCAGTGAGGATCGAACTCACTATTCAGTCGTAACTGTTTTAGCGAGACAAGCTTGCTAACCATTACACCACACCGAGGTACCCGACTTCTTTGCTTTATATCTCCTTTTCTTTCAATCCTATTCGTTATATGAAGTTTTTCTTTTAAACTTTGTGTCAGTTTTTCCGTGACTCGCTTTCCTTCCTTCTTTCCTTCCTTCATTTTTCATCTATGCTTTCTATTTCCTTCCTTTCTGTCAGTTTTTTTTTCATTCTTGCCCCTTTTTCTACATTTATTTCCAGCTCCCTCCTTTGTTTTAAGAGTACAAGTCAATTGATGAGACCAGTAGAAATACTAACCACAGTAGACCATCTCGAATTCGCTGAAATGAACTTTTCCAGCTGGTGATTTGTTTGTTGTTCTATTATAATGTTATCACAAGTTGTTTAACCAAATGAAGAAGTACCGTACATCACTCTATCGCGTATTTATCATAAAGAGGTCGTTAACAACTGCTTTCTCATCGCTCATTGATAAGTGAAAAGTCCAAAGTATTTTCATGATTGTTTATGTCTTTGTCGCTGCTTGAAATTGTAGGGTCAGGGTACATCCGATTTTTCAAGATAATTCTTTTTGCACCGTATTTCGATTTTATCTTTTAATTTTTTTTCCGTGTCCCCGTCAGAAACAGGCGTCGGCTTATTTTCTGGCATGGGGATGTCTGTGATGGCTTTAAATAAATATTGATCTGTAAATTTTGATGAAGTGCTTTCCAAGTAGAAATAACATCAGAGAATTATGAAATTATCATTTGAGATTGTTTTAGTCCGTTTATCTATCTATCTATCTATCTATCTATCTATATCTATCTATCTATCTATCTATCTATCTATCTTGTTACCTGTAATCTTTTATGACTTTAGCAATGCGGTTGAAAGAGGCAGAAATCATGTGAACTGCTCATCGAAACGAGAAACAAATTGTCTTGATCGGGCAATGATGACAAGCATTTGCTGTTAACGATGAGTTATTTTCAAAAACACTTGACATCTCAAAAAACTTTACGTAAAAATTGAGTTTCTTTATTTCATCAGTAACTAATTCAATGTTTGATTCGAGAAAATTTTTCAAATTATAATTGATGTCCTCAAAATTTATAATTTTCCAAACGCTGAAAAAAGTAATTTCTCTAATTTATGGAAACATTTTGACAAAAAGCTCTCGATTCTTATGCAATACAGAGAATTTGCATTTTTAATTCGCGGTACATATCACTTTGTATGGCACAGAATAAAGGTCGTCATCATGACGTGTATCAGGTGATGGTTTTGGATAGACATTGCAGGTGATTGTAATTTCAATTATAAATTCTGTTTCACTTTCTAAATTGCCACAGATTAGGGATTTGTATTTATTCACCATATTTTTCTTTTTATATTTCAATGTTGCATAAATATTTCCCGCCAGTCATTATAAGAAGCAATGATTGAGAAAAGAACTTGGGTTCATGCCTTTCTGAATTAATCTGAGATCTGAAGCATGTGTAAGAAGCTGTTATGATGATTCTATTTTCTACTAAACTTAATTTTATGTCACTTTATACATTATTGTAGAACATGAAGTGTCAGTTTCATGTTCCTTGATGGTTTATTGATCTCGATATTTAAGTAGACGTATATTGTAATGCCTTATTTACGAATTAAAATCTACATAAACCTACAGATTCATAGAAAAAACAAGTTTATTAAAAATAAACAAATATGTGCCGTAGAATAAAATTCGAGCGCTACCCTGATACAAATAATACAACACCTATAAGTAAGCAAATTTCATATCTTTGGCATGGACGGATATCTTAACACAGAACAAAGGGCGTAGGCTTGTATTGTGTGAAATTTTGAACCGTTAAGTATATTGCACACACATTTATAATTCAATGAATTCACTTAAACAGAAAATAGACGATTTCAATATGATGATTAGCCAAGAGACATAATGTTACCTTCCAGTCGTTTCCGTTGGTAAACTTTTGACCTTGTGTGCATGCACTGACGTCAAATTCGAACTGGAGTCACAATCCTAGATAAATTTCTTTTGAGAAATATAGAGAAATTTATTTACTGAAAAAAAGTTTGAACAAAGTAACTATAAACAATTCTTTTTTCCATCCTCCTCCAGCCGCAATGATGGAGAAAGCACCATTTCGAACCATCGCCAGCGAGACACGCCGCAAGAGCTACTCCGCCTTGTGATGCCCGTCCCTCAATCGAGACGCAATCGCGCCAATCCTCCGAAGGAACGCCATCGAACGAGGGCCAATAACCTCAGAAGTCTCCACTGCCACAGGAGTAAAAAAAGAACTATCAGCAAGAGAAAAATATTTAACTATTTTTTATCTCTGCATCCCGGGCGACGGATCCTGACTCAAGCGCGGACCTGATCAAATTACTGGCCGAAAATGTATCCGCACAGGTCGCATTCCAAATCAACGACTTCCCCCTTTTAAAAGGGAAAAATGTTAATGTCATCCGGCCGCTTTCCATCACCACGGTCGAGGTCTACGGGTTCGATTTGGGAAGAGAACCCAGCTGCATCCAAACCTCTTTTGATGATGTCGTTTATTGCTGCATGCAGTGGAAAGAGGCCTGCACTACGACGACAGGAGAGAGGATGCAAACCAAACTCATCAATGGAAGCTCCACATCTGCATCTGTGATGCTCACATAATTTGAGTCCAAGACGGATCGCGACTCCGACCCGAGTCCACTCATCATCTAGAAGAGTACCGGTAGATGAAGAGGGCACTGCGTTGAGCTAGGCGCCACTACTCGATTGTGAAGCAGGTAGTAGACAGGGGCGGCGGTGCTGATCCAGAGAAAGCCCCAAATTAGTAAAATTGGCCTCGCATTTTATTTTATCCAAGCTTTTCTGTTTTGATGTTGTCTTGTGGGATAGAAAGTAATTCTTGGGCCCAGACGCTGCAAACTTGTTCGAAAGAAGCTACCCGAGAAACAGTGAGACGATCCACCGAGTATCTCATCAATTAATTCACGACTGGACGAAAGTGAAGAAAGATATGCTGGAAGGGCCAAATTGGCCGCTGATCGAAAACTGGAGAACCAAAAATAGATTTGCATAAAAAATCATGTTGGTTTTGTGCAATCAAGCATGCGTGGAAACATGAGCAGAAGCATGCGCAGAAAAGAATAACAGAGCATGACTAATGGGAGTTACGTGCTTTGAGAAATTCTTCTTCCCTGCATTTGCGTATATTATTAAAGCATATGCTTTAATGCAATTAAAGATTATTTATTTCGTAAAAATACAAAATTGTGCCACAAGGCCAATGAGGAAATGGGGAGAGGCTGGTCTTCATTAGCTATTCTAGTCCTAGTTAATCAAAATCACGACCCATTCATTCATTACAATATGCTTATTCACCACAAGAACTCATCCATCACCACTCAATCCTACATATACCATAATACCGCATATTCGCAGGGGACCTACAGAACATGCCATGATGTAAAAAGGTCATTTCACTATCTACAGTGTAACCCGGCTATAAGAAAAACCCGGATATAAGAGAAACCCGGATATAAGAGAGATTTTCTCTGGTAACAAATTAGAGGCTGTGTTAATGTATATAAAATAGACCAAACCCGGATATAAGAGAAACCCGGATATAAGAGACTTCTTCTCCGGTCCCGACTACTCTCTTATATCCGGGTTATACTGTATAAAGTTCGTTTATATGAAAATGTCATGATTTATTAAATGAAGGGGTGGTAGGATGAAACCAGAAAACAAACTAAAAATGAAACACAAAACTAAAACTAAAACAATGTTAGCAGGACCTGTCCATCCCTCAAAATAATAAGAGTTGCCGCTGTATTCTGTCGATAGACAAAATCAAGAAGCACCCTCACTAATGAAATGGAAAGGGTAAAAATAAGTGACGGTAAGGGGAAAAGTCAAAGGCTGACCCAGTCGGGATGAAAAATGGGGGGACAAAATCAAACTAGGTGAGGTTAGGACTCTCGACATGGGTCATAACAAAAGAGAATGCCCGCAGCAGGCTGGGAACCACACCTTTTCACATTAACTAGGAAAACATAATATTGTCTAACTTAACCAGGGGAGGGTTCACAGGAAAACGCCCCGTTGCATCAAGGGGACTTAAATAGAAAAACAAGACTTGCCCCGTACACACGAACTATGCTTGCCTAAGTTACCCCCCTTTCGCTGAAATCTGTGGAAATAAAACGCTTTCTATCAGATCTGATCTAAGCTGTTCCTTAAAGAAAACAACCAGATCCTGATGCAAATAGCGTTCGTCCTGCAAGATTGCCTCATTTTGCAACGTCCGCACGACCATCCTTGCCACAGCTAACAACGTAAAAAACACCATCCGTTTTACCCTGGAGAATGGAGGCGACACATTGTCACACGCGTATGCGAGATCGATGTACACGAGCTGATCGGGAGCGATACGAGCCGTCAACTCACCGACATCCTCCCAGAAAGGGCGCACGTGAGGACAGTGGTAGAAAGCGTGCGAAGCCGTTTCCTCTAAGCCAAGGTCGCACCGGTGACAGTCTAGCAAATCTGCCTGGCCCCAACTGTAGAGTACTTCATTAAGAGGTTACGTGTTCCGAATCAATCGCCAGCTATGCAAAAACTGAAGGTTGCTGAGATTAAATTCTGTGTACTTGTCTATCAGTGAAATACATCTGGGAATTGTAATTACTTCTTTCTTTTATCGGTGTTATTTATATTTAAAATATTTAGTAAACTAGAAAATTTTCACTAAAAATTCATATTTCTTTTCTAAACCTAGCACACGGTCTCATTTATTCAAATTTTTGCTCTGCATTTTAATAAAAATGCGATATTTTTTCTTTTTATGAACTTATGTCTTTACTTTCCTCCATTTTTGTCAAGCTTTCTATTTGCATAAAAAGAATAAAAGTGCAAAAACTTCCGAATAAACTCACATCGACTTTGATAAAAAGACAGGTACATTGGATAAAAAAAGGATATTCAGTTTTGCGTGTAGATATTTCTATTTAAATCTATGAAATTAGTTTAAAACACAGAAAAAAAAAAAACAGTGTTCTGTTGATTTCTAAAATCGTTTGGAAGTTTTATGGAGGTGGCTGATTGGTTGAAACTTAACATTGATATAATTTAACATACGATTCCTTGAAGAAATTTGGTTTCATTTGTATAATGCACGATATTTTCATCTTAAAGAAAGACAAGTTGTTAATATTCAAAACTGTTTGAAAACTTGATCAACGTCCGTCAATAAATATGCAGATTAAATAGAAATGTATCAACTAAAAGCTTTGAGGGAGTGGCTTTTCTTGAAATGTTTGATAGGAAAATCTGACGGATATATCGAATAGAGAGATATTTAATACTCAAACGCACAAGGGTTTATTTATTCTGTGAGTGTGGCATAGATAGGACGTTAGGAAGTGACAACATGCCCGCATCAAGTGGTTCCTGTTCAATCGTGTCTACGATTGTAGCTTTGGATAAAACTTTGGTATTCTGGGGCCATTGATTGATGTTCCTCTTGATGACCCTCCAGATGTACTATTCTAGGGTAATTCAAATTGGTAAGCTATATGTTGGTTGGGGCAGATTCTCAGCAAAACACCTCTGAATCACGTGGATCATGTGGGGAGAGAGAGAGAGAGAGCGAGAGAGAGAGGGGGAGAGAGAGGAAGAGAGAGAGAGTGTTGGAGTATGCAGGATTTGATTACTATATTTTGGTGAAGTCTTTTTTCTCAACTGACCACATTGAAGACAGTGGTAAGCGGCGCAACGTGTCCTTTCATTTCCTGTGTCTGATTTGAAGCAGCCATGTTAAGGCACTTGATATCGCATTTGAT